ATGCATCGTGCGGCTCAGATTGCATTCTGCACTCAAATTTTGAGATAGTGCATTTTCAAAGGATTATGGTGCATTTCGACATGATGCATTTTCAAACCATCTTGGTGCACCTAATTTTGATACAATCCTAACCCTTAGATCTCCCAATCTAATGCACCAGATTCATTCTTATTTCTTTCATTAGATTGCATTCTCACCTGAACCAAAATATATATATATATATATATATATATATATATATATATATATATATATATATATATATATATATATATATATATATATATATATATATATATATATATATATATATATATATATCTGTGTGTGTGTAATGTTACGTACGCACAATGATAGTCAACAACCGCAACCGCAACCCGCCACCGTTCAAATCTTATCTTCTTGTTGGGCGTTACGATATTTGACTAAAGTTATTTTCTAATTACTTGAAAAATGGTATGAAGTTAAAAAAGATTATATTAAAAAATCTAAAACACTCGAGGTAATATGAGTGCATTATTTTATTAAATACACAAACAATAAAAAGTCAACCAAGTAAATAAATTTAACTATATAATAATATTAAGAAATTATTAATTGGAGGAAAGGAGTATTCTAATGAATGAGTCTTATACCTAAAGGCCCTCTCAAAACCGACACATTAGAGGGAAAAAAAATTGTACTCCTTCCGTCCCAAATTATTTGCAACGTTTGCTTTTTTAGCAGTCGCAAGACCTTTTTTTTTATTTTTATGTTTTCATTGGTTATTTGATAAAATAAAATATTATTGACACCTCTTATTTCGAAGAATTTTTCATGTAGTTTTTTTATATGTAAATTTTATTTTTTATTTTTATACCAATATGTAAATAAAATGAATTGAAAAAAATTGATATTTTACTTCGAGAATACAAGTGTGGCAAATATTTAGGGACGGAGGGAGTATAGCAAATGGTGCAGGTAGCAGACCTCACAAATCTTATTCCTCGTTTATCTTCTCTGCTCACAATGTGATATCTGCACTTCTGCTGTTTTAGGTAGCTTTCCATACACTGGCCTTCTGCCCTCAAAGATTTGATTTTGGTGTGTACCTCTTGGATTTTCTACCGCTCCCTCGACCCACCCTTTATTTATTGCGTTAGGTTGCATTATATGGATGTACGCACTCTATAAATAAGTATACCTTGTCACTTCCTTCCAACTTCAGTCCCAAACTAGCTATATAGCTGTAGCTAAGTTAGTTTCAATTAACAAATAATTAATTAATTGCAGTCTAATAATCAAGCTAGGTCGATATCGATGGAGAGCTTCCACCAGCTGCTGGGTGGCGGTGGCGGTGGATACGAGCATCTGGACTCCTGCGGCGGCGGCTGTGGCTGGGACGCCAATCTTCCACCTGGATTCCGCTTCCACCCCACCGATGAAGAGCTCATCACCTACTACCTTCTCAAGAAGGTAGTCGACAGCTCCTTCGCCGCTCGTGCCATTGCGGAAGTCGACCTCAACAAATGCGAGCCGTGGGAGCTTCCTGGTATATGTGTGTGTGTATGTATGTGTGCGTGCGTGCGTGCGTGTCGAATTCAACAGCAACAGCTAGCCAGACATAGATATACGTTGAATCAATAACTCGGGGACTAATTATATTTGATTATGAATTGTTTTTTAAATGGTGCATATATTTAGAGAAAGCGATGATGGGAGAGAAAGAGTGGTACTTCTTCAGTCTGCGCGACCGCAAGTACCCGACGGGGCTGAGGACAAACCGGGCGACTGAGGCCGGATACTGGAAGGCTACGGGAAAAGACCGAGAGATTTACAGCTCCAAAACCTGCGCTCTGGTGGGGATGAAGAAAACCCTGGTTTTCTACCGGGGTAGGGCTCCCAAGGGTGAAAAGACTAACTGGGTCATGCACGAGTACCGTCTTGACGGGAAGTTTGCCTACCATTACTTCTCTAGAGCATCTAAGGTATGCATCGTATGCCGTACTTCGTCGTTTCACGAACTCTAGCTATATTTTGTTTCCTTTCTTTCTTCGATGATGGTCGAAATTGTATTTTTAATTGAAATTAATTGGCCGGGTAACGGTGCAGGACGAGTGGGTTATATCGAGGGTATTTCAGAAGAGTGGCGCCGCCCCGGCGTCGGCGACGGCGGCGGGGAAGAGAAGACTAACGGCCGATGTCATCAACCTCTACCCGGATGTGAGCTCGCCGTCCTCCGTCTCTCTGCCGCCGCTGGTTGACTCTTCATCCTACAACAACCACAACACTGCCACGTCAGCTCCGACAGCCGAGAGCTGCTCCTACGACGAAGACGCTGTCGTCGCCAAGGAGCACGTGCCCTGTTTCTCCAATTCCCTTGACCTCCCGGCTGCGCTGCCGCCGCTCGGGTCAAAATTCACCTCCCTCCTTGACCTGCCGCTGGTCCCATCGTCCTTGTCCCGCTTTGCAGCTATTCCGAGGACCAACAACAACAACGGTGAAATAATCTCGCCGTCGGCATTCCCCTGCTTGAGGTCCCTCCACGAGAATTTGCAGCTCCCGTTCTTCATCCCCGGTGCTCCGCCGCTTCACGGTGGTCTTGCCGACCAGATGGGCGGCTACGCCATCTGCCCCCCCGTAGCCGAACCCCAGAAGGTTGGCAACTCCGAACTCGACTGCATGTGGACCTATTGATTTCAGCTCTAGCTCGATCATTGTGTAAGTTTAATTAATTAATAATTGATTATAATAATTAATGTTGAACTTTAACCTGTCTCCCTTTTGGATTGTTATATTTAAATTTCAGTTTTCAATTCAACCGATTATCCGAGACATTATTAGTACTTAGTAGTACTCCCTACACCGTAGCCTATTACGTTAGCTCTCTACTGCGTGCATATTCGTACACTGTGTGTGATCGAAATATATGTATCTATGTCCTTTTGCTGATTTGACGTTGCGTGCAGACTACTCCCTCCCTTTTACCCCCAAATTATTTCACCTTTAAAAAAAGAAAAATGGTAGGGGTATTAGAGGTCTACCCCATTTGTCTCATACCCCTTTCTTGTCCATATAATTGGCAAGAAAATAAAAAAAAATTAAATAAATAAAAATTAAATAAAAATGAGTGGTGGAAAAGAGAATGGTTTACATTTGGGGTACTTTTGGTGTACTCCTAGCATTGTTCTTAAAAAAAATAAGTTTGTGCACTTCTTCAGATTCGATCAGACGGTTATTGAAATTTGGTGAGACCGTTATTGAGAAAAATGTAAATTGGGTTTTCATTGTAGATCTGTGGTAGAGAATAGAGCATGCACTTGTTTAATGCTTAGCATAAATGGTTTTTTTGCATAGTTTTCAGAAATTCAACTTGGAATGCCCCCTTGGCTAGGGTTGTTAAAAAATAACCGATCTGAAATATCTGTCCATGATCCGGGCAGATCCGATTCGATATTTTAGCTTTCAAATATTTCGGATCGGATATCTAAAAAAATTCAGATCGGATAGAGAATGAAATATTAAAATTTCGGATATCCGCGGACATCCAAAGTTCACATTTTATAAAAAATAAATATAAAAATAAAGCTTATTAGACAACTTAACCCCAATTAATTTTCATCATCATAAATATTTGAACCTAAGATTAATTGAAGTTTTTTACTTTAATCTTTTTTGTCGATGTTTTATTTGTCAATTATGTGATATTCTTTTTCAATACATTTATAAAATTATGACTTATGATAAAACTATCAAGGTAACTATGACATTTAGATTAGAGTTGACTTCAAATTCAAGTCTAATTTATGACTTCTACTATTTTAACAAATAAAAAACTATTCTAAATACTTTTTTAGAATTATAGGAAAAAATAAAAATTCTAAAAATAAATAAATAATTTTTTTTCCAGATATTCCATTGATCCGATCCGAAATTTCAGATATCCAGAATTCGGGTATCTAGTAATTTTCAGATCGGACATGGAATAGATATTTACCGATCCGAAAATTTTGAATATCTGAAAAACCGGATCAGATCGGATATATCCGCATGAACACCCCTACAGCCTTGGCACTCTGTCTTTGCCAAGTACACAACGCGGACACCACTTTTATTATTACTCTATCCGCCCTAATAAATTATAACTCTGTCCCAAATTAGATTGTTTTTTTACTATTCACATGAACAAACTCTATTAACTATCTTTCTCTATTTTCTTTAGTTATTTAATAAAATAATATAATAATATCATCACTAGTTTTGTATACGTAGATTTTTTTATGTGGTTTTTACATATGAAACTTTTATGAAATATTTTTTAATTCTACGTCGTTTTTCATTTAAAATGATTTGAAAATAATTTCAATTAAACATTGTAAACCCAAACAGAGGATTTAAATTTGGAGGGAGGGAGTAATACAATATTTCACTATTCAAAAATTATGGAATTTTTTTATTTCAGTATATTTATTAATTACTTGATAACATAAAGTATTTTTATAACCTCTTATTTTGGATATAATCGGTTTCGGATATATATTAGATTTTGGATCTTATCAGTTACGGATCTTACTGGTTTTGGGCCTTATTAGTTTCGGGTTTAACCAGTGTCGGGTCTAATCAGTTTCGGATCTAATCGGTCTTGAGTTTAAATCGGGTATATATATATTTAGTTTGGTTTCGGTTTGGATTGGACTATTTTGACTATTCGATTATAAATCGGATCTTCACTTCTTGGATCATTTCTATTTTGGATTACTCGATTCAGGTAACCCGTTCCGAGTATGTTTTGTCAAGTTTAGGTATTTCTGTCTATAATATGTACTCAATGTCTCAATCAAATTGTGTTTTACAGTTGGTAGATTGGCCTTTCTCTTTAAGGGAGATGCTAGGGGTACATCAAATGGTGTATTCTCTTTGTACACCATTGATCATAACTGTTGTTTTTTATTTATTTTTTAAATTTTTTTCCACCCTTAAAATTGTGTGATGGAGATGGAATGGTGTTCATTTGGCTACACTTTTGGATATACCCCTAGAATTTTTCTAAGGGACTCCAATTCGCTTTGCCAAAGGAAATTAAAGGAGGTCCGTTACTCGTGCGATTCGTCGAATTAGTAACATTTTAAGGGAAATTCTTAGCATTCAAAAAATGAGATGTTTTTTGGTTTAGAAATTTTAAAATTTTTATGAAGCTAGTTATATTAAATATGAAATTTAAATATTCATTAATACTCATTATCGAGTAACTTAGTACTCATTTTCAATTAACAGAATATTTATTTTTGTTGAACTAAATATTCCTTTTTGAGCATAATTGAGTTTTAAAGAAATGAGTGTTCAATTACTCGAGACTTACTATTTCCTTGCTCGAAAATAACCATTCCGCAACACATAAATGAGCACTCGCCGTGGAATCATGGATACACGGGAAACACTGTACAATCAGGTGTATAATATATATTGCGCTATATGGGTGGAGTATTTTTAACCTTTCCTTGGGATCGACTAACTCTTTATTTGTGAAGATTTCTTACTTTTTTTGAAAGTAGCATTATTTTAACCCGTGCAACGCACGAGATAAACAAATTCTTATCGATTATATAAATTTTTTAATTTTTCAAGTCTTTACCCCCTTAATTTCTATCTCTTGGGACATATTTGGTTGGGAGAAAAATATTTTTTTTAAAGAAAAATTTCATCCTAGTTTTTAACATTTGGTTCAAAAAGTGATAAGGAATTATTTTTAAGAAATTATAGTCTCAGGCCAAGGGATATTTCAATTTATACTCACTCCTCGAGTCTTATAATTTTGCGAACAAATCAAAATTCTCATTTGGTTGGGAGAAAATTATTTTAAAAAAAGGTTTCCATCCAAAATTTTACGTCTGGTTTAAAAAGTGAAAAGGAATTATATTTGAGAAATTATAGTCTTAGGACAAGGAAAATTTCAATTTATACTCACTCCTCGAGTCTTCTAATTTTGCGAACAAAGCAAAAATCTCTCCCTCTCCCCCTTCCAAACGCTAGAGAATGAAACTCTTTAATGTAAATTTGATATAGTCATATAGATCACGTATAAAAACAAACTATGAATATGCCCATATCTTTTGATATATGATATAGCAATTTCTTATAAAATAATTTTCTAGTATGTGGTTGTTTAGAAAACAAATTAGGGGGAATAATTTTTTGAGGAAATCATTTTCTCGTAAAGAATTTTGAAAAATATTATCCCCCAACGAAATATGTCATCCAACTCTTTCAGTTTTCTGGAACGCCGTCTCTTTTTTGCGTGTGTTCTTTTATCTTAAATTCTTAACTTTTAGTTTTTCAGATTTCTCCTAGTTTTTTCTAGTTGTTTGAAGTTTTTCCAGTTCATTCAAGTTTTTAGTTTTTCTAGTTTCTTCCAACTTCTTCTTGTTTTGTTATTAATATTATTTTTTTATCGGATTAGTAATATTATTATTTGTATTGTTATTGTTATTATTTATTATTAATGTACGTAGTTTATAAATTATTTCACTTTGTATGTTTTTTTTCTCATATCATTATTTTCTCAATTCACTTTCATTAATTATTATTTTTTCTTCCACTTTTTAATATACATAATACACTTTATTTAATAATCTACATGGCACTAGTCTATGTTCCAAAAATTATAGATAAAGTGGATATTTTTATTAATCTAAAATGGATTCGAGTAAACCTAAATATTTTAAATTATAAAATAGTACTCCGTAATTATACTACTACCTATACAATATGAAAAAGAAAAAAATGACCCAAAAGTATGTAGCGATCCTTACAAAAGTATAAATTTAACATTTATTATGATTTTATTTTTCATTTGTAGTGTTTTTCAAAAATATAATATTTATTCCAAAATTTTTTATTTTTTTCCCCAAAAATTTTCAATTCTTTTCAATTTTATTCAACTTCTTTTAGGCTTTTCAGTTTCTTCCTCTTTCTTTCGAATTTTCCAGTCTCATCTAGTTTTTTCTAGTTTCTTCATGTTTTTTCTAGTTTTTTCAACTTTCTTCTCATTACTTCTAGCTTTATTGAGTTTCTTCTCTTTTTTAACCTATAAAGTACATGTTTTAGTTTCTTCTAACTTTTTTGTTTTTGCCTTTCATTTTTTCAATTTCATTTAAAACTTACATATAAAATATCCTTGGTTTCGAAAAAGGGTATTTATGTTCCCTCCATTAGTCAAATTTCGGCATTTGTATTTCATGCTCCTAGAGTGCATTGAAGTTTGGTAGCGAGGGGAATGAGTGCTGATTTTCCGAACTACAGGGCAACTAAACCTATTTTCATTCATCTTTTTATTTTTTATTTTTCTTCTCTTTGTTTTCTTTTCAAAAAAATATTTAAACTATATATTTTTCTATTATGCTTTAAAAACTTAAAAATGTTAACTTTTTAAATAAAAAAAATAAATGAAAAAATAACACGTCTTTCATCGGTCTCAAATTAGACATTTCTTTATTCTAAAGTAAAAAAGCTTCTAATCATGATGCTCCAGAAAATGAGTATAAAAAATAGGAAAAGGAAATGAAAAAATAAATAGAAACAAAAAATTCTCGAATAAAAAAGAGAAGGCGTAGCCATGAAATGATGAGGTGAAAATTATACTCCATAATTAGAAAATATTAGTGTAGAAATTGTAAGTGACTTTATCATATTTATTGTTTACTAATTTGTTTCTATACCATAAT